CCTCCTCCCGGGCGCTCTGCCTCAGGCGGGCGCACTTCTCCCGCCGCCATCCGCACTTACCCGGCCGGGACCTGGGGCTCCGTTAGCTGCGATGGGAGCCGAGCCTAGAGAGGCGGCGAGCGGCGGAGAGCTGGGCCACCGCACACAGCCGGCGCCCGGGCCCGCCCCTTCGCTCCCGGCCGGGGGAGTGTCCGCGCGCCTCCCGCCGGCCCCGCGCCCCCGCGCCCCCGCGCCCAGCGGCGGTGCTCCGCGCCGGCTCTTCTCGCCTGGGAGGCTGGCCAGAACCCCGCACGCGGGCGGGCAGCCTCTTTGTTAGCAAGTTTGCCTTTCTGCATGCGATTCAGAGCACGCAGAGCAAATTAAGTGGAGTTAGGGGCACTGTGCGGCTGCCGAGGGGGGAAACCACCTGCGGGGAGCGGGGGATGGACTTGGTGAGGGGCGGAGGAGCGGCTTTCAAACCTCCCTGCAGTCCGTGGCCCCCAGCGCCCACCCTATCCGCCCTCTCAGAACCCTCCGTCCCCCTGCCTACATCGGCTCCTGGGAGTGGTTGGTCTTTGGAGGTTCCCAGGGACTTTAGGGACAAGGTCTGAATGCAGAGAGCCTCCCCACTCCTCATTCTTCGCCCCAAGACTCCCATCACGTCCATGTCCCTCTAGAGTCCTGGGGACCATCGGCCTTACATTCCCTGGCCCAGAGGGAATCAGGATTCTTCCTAATCTGAAGCGAAAAGAGTAGACGGTAGGGCCCAGCCGCCCCAGCCTGCACCCGGTGGAGGTGCAAAGCTGCCCCTACGTGGGTCTGCCCTAGCAGAGGGGCGTGCATAATGGTTTTTTTTCCAGAGCAGCGGTGGCCTTGTGCTTATCCAACCGTGTTCTTTTGAAACTTGACTGCAGTAAGCCAGCATCTCCATTTACCAGGTTTCTAGGTCAGGGAGGCCACCGCTACTGGCCGGTAGGGAACGCGAAGGTCGCCACTGCGCCTCAGAGCACCATTGCTCTCAATGCCCCAGCTGGCCGCTGAGGAGGGCTTCGCACAGGGCTGTGCGGGAAGGAGCTGATGGCCACAGTCCCCTGAGATGAAGACCTGAATTCAGAAGCTGCCGCAAAGGAGTCCACAGAGCTTGCTGTGCGCGGTGCAGGAGGAGGAGGGTGGTGGGAGAGAGGGGGTAAAACCGGGAAGTCAGGAGGAGACCTGGAGTGATGTGAGGTTGAGTTTCGTGCAGGGCGAGCTCGGTTGGAGAAGCAGGCCACCTTCGTCCAGGGGTACACATCCAGCAAATGCAGTGGGATGACCTGTGGTACTTAGGAGAGAGGTGGAGGCAAGAGATGCGAATTTTGGAATCATCCGGAAAGAAGTTGGGTTGACAAGGGAAGAGATGGGGCAAGAGGGTAGAAAAGATGGAACAGGGCTGGAGACAGAAGCTAAGTCTAAGGAGGAGAAGGAGCCCATGAGAGAAGCCGTGCGGGAGGGTCGGGACTGTGCAGGGTGAGAGAACTCAGGAGAAAAGGGATATTCAGTTCGGCCCGGCTACAGGGACATCAGGAAGGAGGTGCCCAAGAAAACAGGCTTAGATTTGGAAATGAGGAGATCTCTGGGGGCTTTCGAGAGAATTATTTGAGTGGTGGGTTGTGTAGACCAGGTTGCCACTCCCTGGGGGACATGGGGATCCTGGATCCAGTTGGTTGATGCAGGGATACAAAGGTCCATCTCTTTGCGTTCCTTCAGGGGGTCTCTGAAGGGCCGCCCCAGCTCCACAGCTTCCCGAGGGATGCGAAGAGGCCTCAGTGGAAAGCAGCACAGTTCAGGTTCAGTCTCTGCCTAATCCTGTTTCCCTCACTCTCTCAAGGTGAGTGAGGTCTATGGGGGGGAAACCCTTCCCAGCCCTACCCGTAGACTTCCTGGAATGCCTGGAACAGCTTAGTGACCCAGGCACAGGTGGCTTGAGACAACCTAGACAATTGGGCCTGCTGTCAGAGTGAATGGCCCCCCCAAACCCCCCCGCAGGAGACCCCTGCAGGTAGATTTCCATCTCCATGCAGTCTGTATCCTAGAAATCCAGCCTGAGATCCAACGGCACCGAGAAAGGGTGAGTGAAACAGAGAAAAGACGGGATGGAGGACCAGAGGTGGAAACCAGCCGGCAGGAGCAAGAGCGGGTGATGGTGGGAGACAGGCAGGAAGGAGCAGGTATGTGATTTGGTATCTCTCTCCTCCATCTCCAAGGAAGCTGTTTCAAGAGATAGGGATTGTCAGAAAAAGCCAGAGACGCTGGTGTTAAAGGGAAACACTGAGAATGAGGAGTGCGGACGAGGGTTATTCGTAATAGAAGATGGGTCTTCAAAAGCCAGGAGGCAGAGGAGGGGAATGCCGTTGGTGGGATAAAGGTGAGGGGAAGCTGAGATTCCTGAAGTTAGTCATATTAAAACAGTGCTGAGGAAAGAGAAAGTTGGAAAATGGTCTAGAGGGACCTTTAGCAACATGAGAGGGCGAGGGATGAATGAATCTCTGGGCCAGGATATTCCCTCTGTAGCACCATCCCTGGGAGCATTAAACATCAGGAGTAGTGAACCAACAGAAATAGAATATGAAATTAACAATTTCCCAGGAATCATGTTTACGCACATAAAAAATAGGTGAAAATAATTTCAATAATGTATTTTATTTAACACAATATATTTTAGATATGTGTTAAAATATATCATTAAAATTGACATGTGTCAATATAAAAATTAATAATGAGATGTACCTTTTTTTACTACGAAGTCTTCCAACTCTGGTGTGTTTTTTACATGTATTGCACACCTAGGTTCAGACACTGAAGTTTCATTAGAAATACTGGATCTGTATTTAGGTTTTATAACATTGATGGTTGAAGAAGCAGATTTGCAAACCAAATTGCTTCATATGTACTTATGCCTTTTACTAACTGAATCAAATGATCAGTCTTTAAGTTAATTAAAATGAAATGAAATAAAAAAAATCCTGCCCTTCAGTTGCACGGAGCACCTCTCAAATGTTCAGTAGCCCCGCATGTGGCTAGCGGTTACTATAGCAGACCACACAGGTCTGGAATTGGAATTCAGAGACTTTTGGATTTGGGCCTTTATTTCGTCCTGATTTTCTACGAAGGAGTGGGCTTGCCTACCCCAAGTGCTGTACCACTAAAAAGTTTCTCATCTGTTCCATCTCATTTCACAAAACTCCCTTGAAGAAGGGAGAAGTTTGAGAGTCCGTCTATGAATAGGGAAACAGGGCTTTGGCTTGGACTAGAAAAGGTGTGAGGGAGATGGGATATGAGTTGGAAGTATCCCATTTTGATTTTTGTTCTGTGTTCATAGGGGGAACAAGGTTTATCTGTCAGATTGGGTGCTCCAGAGAAGGAACTGAGAGTGCACTGTGATGATGCACAGGACAACTCTTGCTTGTACCAACTTCCCATCTTAGTAGTTTCCCTTGAGCTCTGAGCACTGGCTGCGTCACCAACAGGTGGATGGAGCTGCTATGTCTAGGCCTCATTTCCTGCATCTGAAAACTGGGAGAGTAGTTCCTTTTTTTGAAAAATAGGAGGGGCCAGGGAAATCCCAAATTTGGAGACTGGTGCTCCTCAGCCAGGCCTGTAGCTCATCTGCTGTCCCTGCCTGGGTGCCAGCAGCTTCTGCATTCGGTCCACACTCCGGTATCATTTGCCTACCTTTATATCTGATAGAGAGATCTGTCAGGGGATACAAGAGTGAGGGAAATTCTAGAGACTCCTTTAGAAATGTAAAAATAATAATACTTAGGCGTCCTTGCTTTTATCTAAAATGGCATACATCTCTTGCTACTTGGAGGTTCAAGATAGACCTTTGAGACCCCCTGCATGCCAGCACAGGGCCTGATGGCCTCTCCTTGCAGCAGTATGTATCGCCATCCCTAGAAGTGGAGCCACAGGAGATACCATGGTAATTGTGGCTTTGTTTTGAGGATGGTTTTATATACACACACACACACACACACACACACACACACACACACACACGTGCATGGCATGGAGGAGCCTGACCTGTTATTGTTGGCATCCCCAGGATACATGGCACATTAGCTTAGTGTTTAGGTTGTACCACAAACCCTCAAGGTCATGAGCTGTAAAACTTGGATTTCTCCATCCCCTGGGCATAAGCCTGTCTTTCAAAACAATTTCTGGCCACTACCTAGAAGAGTTGAAAATAAAGTTTTCCTTGACAACCTCTACTCCTGCCTCCCTGACATCCCTGCTTGGTTAAGCTGCCCTCCTGCCATGGCCTTAGTAAATACTCTGTGTATAGACTCTTGACAGAGCCATTCCTGGGAAAAACCACTTCATTCTTGGAGATAGGGAACAATGCCCTCAGGATACACATCAGGGACAACTTGTCTGACTCAGCCTGCTTCCCCGTCTTTAAAATGGGGAGATCTTCCTACCTTGGCTTTCCAAAGTGCTGGGATTGCACATGAGCCACTGTGCCCAGGAGAATTGCTTGAGCCCAGGAGTTCGACACCAGCTGGGGTAACACAGAGAGAACTCATCTTTACCAAAACCAAATATAGACATAAAATATGATGGGAAGAAACTCTTGCTAAGATTCTTTTTACAGCCTTAAGAGAGTGGAAACTGGTTGTGGTTTCTCTATTCATGTGAAAAATAGAGCCAAAAAGCCCCCTGTCAGCATGTTTCTCTCTTCCAGCAGGACTGAGGAATGATCCATGGTTAAATATTGATCAGTTAGAATTAGCTTCAGTTCAGTCTGCATTTGACTAAGAACTTGATGACTGAACGTTCTCATTTTTGCAACACTGTCTGGGGCTAATGGGTAAAGAAATGACTGTAGAATGGAACCTCCCAATCTCAGGTGTAATTCCCGTGAGAAAGATGTTACACCAGAAATAGGAGATTTCCAGCTGTTCTCAGGCACACTTTCAATGACATTAAGAACATTAGTTGCACTAATTGGTGCTTGAAATAATTATTGATCTTTGTCAACAGTGTCAAAAGCATTGCTCAAATGTCCAAATGCTTGTCATGCTCTCTTGGCATTCTGCATGAAGGATTTCACAGCCTGGTTCTTTCCCAGGAGAGCATTAGTTAAGGCAAAACATAGAAAAACACATCTAGGATACAGACAACATAAGTACAGACAGCTGAGCAAATATATAAATAACACCCAAAATGACACTTAAATATTTACAGCTGGAGATTTCTGCTACGTGCAGCACATGCTGCTAATTCTCTCTCATCTCCAGGAAGTTTCCTAAAACCTGCTTCTGTAACTAGCAGACAGGTCTTCTGGATCCAAGGTCACCCGCTGGGGAGAAAGAGAAGCCTTTGGATAAACATCACAAGTTTTCTTGGAACATTTATCCTGTTTAAGATTTTATTTAAGATTTTTTAAAAAGAAGGGAATAAGGTTTTTTACAAATATTTTCCAAAGTATAGCATTTATATATGCTCATTTTAGACAATTTGATCAGTATAAAATATTAAAGAAACTAAAAACTTGCTTGGAATCTTAGCTGTCAGAAGTAATACTGTATTACTATATTATGGTGAATATCCTTTTGATGGTGTGTATGTTTGTGCATGTGTGTTTGTAACTTGAATTTTTAAAATTTGAGAATATAGTCTAGTTATCTTTTTATGTCAACAGATTTAGGAATATATTACCTGGGCAGCTAGGGAAAGCCACTGTACCCAGACTGCTTCTAGATTCCTCCTCTCTGGGAAGGGCATCTCTAAAAGAAAGGTAGTAGTCCCAGTCAGGGATTTATAGATCAAATCCCCATCTCCCTGGGACAGAGCACCTGGGGAAGGGAGCAGCTGTGGGCACAGCTTCAGCAGACTTAAATGTTCCTGCCTGCTGGCTCTGAAGACAGCAGTGGATCTCCCAGCACAGTACTTGAGCTCTGCTAACGGACAGACTGCCTCCTCAAGTGGGTTCCTGACCCCCATGCCTCCTGACTGGGACACATTTCCCAGCAGGGGTCGACAGATACCTCATATAGGAGAGCTCTGGCTGGCATCTGTTGGGTGCCCCTCTGGTATGAAACTTCCAGAGGAAGGAGGAGGCAGGATCTTTGCTGTTCTGCAACCTCTACCAGTGATACAGGCAAACAGGATCTGGAGCAGCCCTCTAGCAAACTCCAGCAGACCGACAGCAGAGGGGCCTGACTGTTAGAAGGAAAACTAACAAACAGAAAGGAATAGCATCAACATCAACCAAAAGGACATCTACATGGAAACTCCATCTGAAGCTCAACAACATCAAAGACCAAAGGTAGATAAATCCACAAAGATGAGGAAATACCAGTGCAAAAAGGCTGAAAAATTCCAAAAACCAGAATACCTCTTCTCCTCCAAAGGAACACAGCTCCTCACCAGCAAAGGAACAAAACTGGATGGAGAATGAGTTTGACAAATTAACAGAAGTAGGCTTCAGAAGGTGGGTAATAACGAACTCCTCAAAGCTAAAGGAGCACGTTCTAACCCAACGCAAGGAAGCTAAGAACCTTGAGAAAAGGTTAGAGGAATTGCTATTCAGAATAACCAGTTTAGAGAAGAACATAAATGACCTGATGGAATTTAAAAACACAGCATGAGAACTTAGTAACATATACACAAATATCAATAGCCAAATCGATCAAGCAAAAGAAAGGCTGTTGGAAACTGAAGATCAACTTAATGAAATAAAGCATGAAGACAAGACTAGAGAAAAAAGAATAAAAATAAACAAACAAAGCCTCCAAGAGATATGTGACTATGTGAAGAGACCAAACCTACACTTGATTGGTGTACTTGAAAGTGATGGGGAGAATGAATCCAAGCTGGAAAACACTCTTGAGGATATTATCCAGGAGAACTTCCCCAACCTAGCAAGGCAGGTCAACATTCAAATTCAGGAAATACAGAGAACACCACAAAGATACTCCTCGAGAAGAGCAACCCCAAGACACATAATTGTCAGATTCACCAAGGTTGAAATGAAGGAAAAAATGTTAAGGGCAGCCAGAGAGAAAGGTTGGATCACCCACAATAGGAATCCCATCAGACTAACAGTGGATTTCTCTGCAGAAACCCTACAAGCCAGAAGAGAATGGGGGGGCCAATATTCAACATTCTTAAAGAAAATAATTTTCAGCCCAGAATTTCATATCCAGTCAAACTAAGCTTCATAACTGAAGAAGAAATAAAATCCTTTACAGACAAGCAAATGCTGAGAGATTTTGTCATCCCCAGCTCTACCTGGCAGGTAGAGAGCTCTTACAAGAGCTCCTGAAGGAAGCACTAAACATGGAAAGGAAAAATTGCCACCAGTCACTACAGAAACATACCAAATTGTAAAGACTATCGACACAAAGAAATTGCATTAACTAATGAGAAAAATAATCAGCTAGCATCAATATAACAGGATCAAATTCACACATAAACAATATTTATTAACCTTAAATGTAAATGGGCTAAATGCCCCAGTTAAAAGACCTAGACTGGCAAATTGGATGAAGAGTCAAGACTCATTGGTGTGCTGTATTCAGGAGACCCATCTAATGTGCAGAGACACACATAAGCTCAAAATAAAAGGATAAAGAAAGATTTACCAAGCACATGGAAAGAAGAACAGAAAAGCAGGGGTTGAAATCCTAGTCTCTGATGAAACAGACTTTAAGCCAACAAAGATCAAAAGAGACAAAGAATGGCATTACATAATGGTAAAGGGATCAATGCAGCAAGAAGAGCTAACTATCCTAAATATATCTGCATCCAAATTATGAGCACCCAGATTCATAAAGCAAGCTCTTAGAGACCTATAAAGAGACTTAGACTCCCACACAATAATGGTGGGAGACTTTGACACCCCTCTGTCAATATTAGACAGATCAAGAGACAGAAAATTAGCAAGGATATTCAGGTCTTGAACTCAGCTCTGAACCAAGCTGACCTAATAGACATCTACAGAACTCTCCACTCCAAAACAACAGAATAGACATTCTTCTCAGCACCACATTACACTCATTCTAAAATTGACCATATTGGAAATAAAACACTCCTCAGCAAATGCGAAAGAATGGAAATTGTAACAAACAGTCTCTCAGACCACAGTGCAATCAAATTAGAAATCAGGATTAAGAAACTCACTCAAAACTGCACAACTACATGGAAACTGAACAATCTGCTCTGAAAGACTACAGGGTAAATAACAAAATTAAGGCAGAAATAAATAAATTTTTGAAACCAATGAGAACAAGGACACCACATACCAGAATCTCTGGGACACAGCCAAAGCAGTGTTTAGAGGGAAATTTATAGCACTAAATGCCCACAGGAGAATGCAGGAAAGATCTAAAATCAACACCCTAACATCACAATTAAAAGAACTAGAGAAGCAAGGGCAGGCAAATTCAAAAGCTAACAGAAGACAAGAAATAACTAAGATCAGAACAGAACTGAAGGAGATAGAGACACAAAAGGCCGTTCAAAAAAAAATCAATGAATGCAGGAGCTGGTTTTTTGAAAAGATCAACAAAATACATAGACCGCTAGTCAGACTAATAAAGAAGAAAAGATAGAGGAATCAAATAGACACAATAAACAATGATAAAGGGGATATCACCACTGATCCCACAGAAATACCCACTACCGTCAGAGAATACTATAAACACATCTACACAAATAAACTAGAAAATCTAGAAGAAATGGATAAATTCCTGGACACATGCACCCTCCCAAGACTAAATCAGAAAGAAGTCAAATGCCTGAATAGACCAATAACAAGTTCTGAAGTTGAGGCAGTAATTAATAGCCTACCAAACAACAACAACAAAAAAGCCCAGGACCAGATAAATTCACAGCCGAATTCTGCCAGAGTTACAAAGAAGAGCTGGTACCATTCCTTCTGAAATGATTCCAAGCAATAGAAAAAGAGGGACTCCACCCTAACTCATTTTATGAGGCCAGCATCATCCTGATACCAAAACCTGGCAGAGATACAACAACAAAAATTTCACGCCAATATCCCTGATGAATATCGATGTGAAAATCCTCAATAAAATACTGGTAAACCAAATCCAGCAGCACATCAAAAAGCTTATCCACCACGATCAAGTTGGCTTCATCCTTGGGATGCAAGGCTGGTTCAACATACACAAACAAATAAGTGTAATCCACCACATAAACAGAACCAATGACAAAAACCACATGATTGCCTAAATAGATGCAGAAAAGGCCTTAGATAAAATTCAACACCGCTTCTTGCTAAAAACTCAATAAACTAGGTATTGATGGAATGCAACTCAAAATAATAAGAGCTATTTATGACAAACCCACAGCCAATATAATACTTAATGGGCAAAAGCTAGAAACATTCCCTTTGAAAACTGGCATAAGACAAGGATGCCCTCTCTCACCACTCCTATTCAACATAGTATTGGAAGTTCTGGTCAGGGCAGTCAGGCAAGAGAAAGAAATAAAGTGCATTCAAATAGGAAGAGAGGAAGTCAAATTGTCTGTTTGCAGATGACATGATTATATATTTAGAAAACCCCATCATCTTAGCCCAAAATCTCCTTAAGCTGATAAGCAACTTCAGCAAAGTCTCAGGATACAAAATCAATGTGCACAAATCACAAGCATTCCTATACAGCAATCATAGACAAACAGAGAGCCAAATCATGAGTGAACTCCCATTCACAATTGCTACAAAGGGAATAAAATACCTAGGAATACAACTTATAAGGGATGTGAAGGACTTCTTCAAGGAGAACTACAAAGCCCTGCTTAAGGAAATAAGAGAGGACACAAACAAATGGAAGAACATTCCATGCTCATAGATAAGAAGAATTAATATCGTGAAAATGACCATATTGCCCAAAGTAATTTATAAATTCAACACTATACCCATCAAGTTACCATGGACTTTCTCCACAGAATTAGAAAAAACTACTTTAAATTTCATATGGAACCAGAAAAGAGTTCATATAGCTAAGACAATCCTAAGCAAAAAGAACAAATCTGGAGGCATCACCCTACCTGATTTCAAACTATCCTATGAGACTAAAGTAACCAAAACAGCATGGTACTGGTACCAAAACAGATATATAGACTAATGGAACAGAACAGAGGCCTCAGAAATAACACCACACATCTACAACCACCTGATCTTTGACAAATCTGACAAAAACAAGCAATGGGGAGAGGAGTCCCTATTTAATAAATGGTGTTGGAAAAACTGACTAGCCATATGCAGAAAACTGAAACTGGATCCCTTCCTTACACCTAATACAAAAATTAACTCAAGATCGATCAAAGACTTAAACGTAAGACCTAAAACCATAAAAACCCTAGAAGAAAGCCTAAGTAATACCATTTAGGACATAGGCATGGGCAAAGACTTCATGACTAAAACACCAAAAGCAATGGCGACAAAAGCCAAAATTGACAAATGGGACCTAATTAAATGAAAGAGCTTCTGCACAGCAAAAGAAACTATCATCAGAGTGAATAAACA